AACTTCATCTCCGAGCACTCCCTAGGCAACCCCTCCTACACAGAGCACTATTCAGGCATCCCCTCCATCTACTCGGAGCACTATCCAGACAACCCCGATAGCTACTCAAAATACTGAAAGGTCATCAAACAGGACAATAAGGGTTGGACACTGTGTCAGGAAGTCAAGATGCCTCAGTGGAGAAATTGGTGACCAGTGTATTGGAAGGTACATGTTCAGAGGAACATATCAAAAAATGGACAATCTCATTTCTTTATCTGATGGCATCCCTTAGGAGCATCAATTTCAGTCAAAAATAAAAGGGATTGGGTAAATATGGGTGAAGAAGTTTCTGGCCAAATCATGAAAATAATTCCTTCACTTGGACAGTGACTTCAGTTACAATTATTGAACAGTAGAATTCTTAAGTATCCCTCTTTAATGTAAACAATAGACAAATGCCTTTTAAGTTTTCATTTGTATCTACTTAGAGAAATTTCCAACTGACGCCTCTCATCAATTATAGTATCTTTCACTGGTTAAGAAAATGTGTAAATTACATGGTTAGGTAATACAAAAACACGTGAAACACAGTTCTTCACTTGGTAGGATAGGTGGCCCCTTTTTTCAATCAGAAACCTTTTAATGAAATTGATTTTCGGGTCATCCCCATAACATAAGATGTTGTTCCAAAATCAGATCCAGGAAATTTAGGATAATCTATTACTTTGGCTTATCCCAGAAATGTTTCCATAAATTCAGGTGTTCTAGGACTCTGAGGGCACTATGTTTAATTGATGAGATCATTAAATTATTTAGCAGGAGGAATATCTCACATATTACCTGGTAGATAATTTCTTTTTATTGGTACAACCATTTCAAGAATATATTGCATTGGTATAACAATGTGTTTGTACGTGTCCAAATTAAAGATGATAAAAACACATTTCCTTCAACTACATAGTACATTTGCAAGTATGCTATCAAAATAGCTCTGTTGCTTTGGAAAACTGATTGCCTGGGGCTGAATTACTTAAAGTAAACATAAATTTGAATGATACTAGGTTTATGAAGAAAGTATGCAGTCTTTTATTTGTCTGCTTAGTCTTGCATGTGCTGTATACGTAAGTAGTTCCTGGAAGGGCATTCCTAATGCGATCAATCAAGTTTAACTTGAGAGTACCAAAAACCTATTTCTTTACAATAAACTCACTTTTGACTGAAGCAAGGACAGCTCTTGACACTTGGTATTATTTCATTGAGTATTACAATGGGAAATATATACTTCTTTCCTACCGATGATTATCTTTGCAATACCTCACACTTTTCACAGATGCCTCTGGGTCAGTAGATTTGGCTTCAGTCTTGGGGAACATTTCACCTTTTCTAAAAACAAGCATCAATACCACATCATCTCTTGATAATGTAAACACCAGTGGCTTAAAGCAATTTGAATGCATCTTTATCAAATAGCAAAAGAGCATCTTAATTTCAATGAAGCTGGAAGATTTTTAAGTCTGGTCAGCGGTTTCAGTTGACTAATACCTATTTCACCAACAGTTTTATGCAATTTCATTACTCATTTATTTGCCAACAAATACTCAACTAGTAGCATTTCATCCCACACATGTGCAATAGGGTTTATACACAAAATAAAAAATCTTGCAGATCCATCATAATCTGTTCTTATTAAAAGAATTTAGGTGGTCAATTCATTGTGGTCAACCAGTGTCTCATTCATTTGTAAATAAACATCTAAATTAAGCAGTATCTGTCATTGGTCTGAATCAAAAACTATAGGAAAGGCATAGCTTTCGAATTGATGCAGCAAATGATAATGCAAAATTGGGATTTTCAGAAAAAATCTATTCAAAAAATAGGGAGATGGAATTCGGATGCAATTAAAAAGAATAAGATTAGAAAGCTTTCATTTGTAACTGACAAGTCAATTGCTTATAGGCATTGTGGGATTTACTTTTTTAGAAATTCGTTGAGTTGACTCTTCAGGCCAGAAGGTGTCTGCTGAAAATCATATTGTCGACTGCAATCTATCATAAAGTGTAGTTTTTGTGAAGTTAAACCTTCAGGCCAGAAGGTGTCTGCTGAGGTCTATCAAGAACTGTGGGTTTTATGAAGTCAACTTCCAGGCCAGAAGTTGTCTGCTGAAAATTATCACGAATTGTATATTGGGTAAAGTTCAACTTTAGGCCAGAAGTTGTCTGCTGATGTTTGGAGAATATCATGTATCGTACACATATGTGGTTATCCATTTATGTTTAATAGGTGATAGCTAAGGTTTAAAGTATGGGTATTGCGACACCAAAAATTGTCTTTTTAATTGCATTTTGTAGACATGTTTTGAGCCAGACTCCTTTAACTTACATTCTAACATACATGTTAATATCGGTCATTATCAAATATATGTAACCTTGGTGTTGCAATTGTTACCAAGAAAAAAAATTTGCCTACCTCTGAGTTGATCAAGTACATCATGCAATAGTCAGATTTGAATGTGCAAAATTATTACTACTAGGTGATTTTAAGTTGATTTCTAATTATACATGTAATAGGAAAACTGGTTATAATGTATGTCCTCGTAATACAAGTTCACTTTGGGTGGCAGTGTGTACAAACATTGCATGCTTGTAAAGACTTTGGCAGTTTTTGTCTGCCACCTTTTTTGCTGATTGTTATTTTTTACATTCTGGATTGTTTATTTGGATTTTCTACATGTACTATGTTACACTGGGGAGATCAACTAATGTTTTGTACAAATTTACACATTTTTTCAAGAGTGATCTCCCCTTTATCTGATGTATCTTTTCATTATCTGTCGTCATTTATACATGTATAATAAATGACAAATTCATCCATCAAACTTTGTGTATGCGTTACTTTAATATGGATGTGATATGGTCTACATAAATTTAGAAGTGTGTGCAAAAAACTAGCTTCAGTGAACTTGTAAAATTAGTTAAATTACACTGGAGAACATAAAACTGCATTATTGTAAATAATAGCATTTATGTACTCATGTAATGATTTTTATGTACTAATGTAATGAAGTTTTGAGTTTGTACTTTGAGCTGGTTAATCAATCCGTTTTTATCCGTGTTTCAATTTTGTGTCAATATTAGAGCGATCGATAGGGGGTAATTTTACCGACCAATCAGAAGAGACACTAAATGTAGATTCTACGTCACTTCTTGTTTTGATTCGATCGCAGTAAGAAGGGTTTTCCAAGTGTTGCCCACCATCCACCCCGATCATTATTCCACCTTTATGCCATACTGCTAAATTAATATGCAATGTAAAGGGTTAATGGATAAAAATGTTTTAAAATCATATTTGTTTATATATTTTAATATGATTTTATTTTGGCAGTTGTTTATCTGTCAAGGCAGTTTTTGTCTGCCACCTTTTTTGCTGATTGTTATTTTTTACATTCTGGATTGTTTATTTGGATTTTCTACATGTACTATGTTACACTGGGGAGATCAACTAATGTTTTGTACAAATTTTCACATTTTTTCAAGAGTGATCTCCCCTTTATCTGATGTATCTTTTCATTATCTGTCGTCATTTATACATGTATAATAAATGACAAATTCATCCATCAAACTTTGTGTTTGCGTTACTTTAATATGGATGTGATATGGTCTACATAAATTTAGAAGTGTGTGCAAAAAACTAGCTTCAGTGAACTTGTAAAATTAGTTAAATTACACTGGAGAACATAAATATACATTATAGATAAAACTGTAGGAAATATTCTTGACACATGGCAGATTCAAATTTACACATATCATGACCAAGGGCTAGGGTTTCGCCAAAATAGGAAATCATTAAGAAAAATAGTTTATATCCCAAGGCAGTGCAGATGTAAGTTTATACAAATGTTGGTGCCTTAGTATATTGTAATTCGGCCACAAAAGAGGGCCAAAATTTTACACGAGAATCTTGTAATTTCTCCGAATCAACAATGTACACTTTAACTTTTGTTCTGTTCATTTGAAGATCATTTTCTGAGATTAATACTACATGTATCTAGTTACTGTATGTAATGCTTGTATATGTAATTTTATAAGGATTTGTCGATTTATTGCTGACTTATTATTACATTTTTGTTTATTGCTTATTGCTTTTTAAATGATTGCTGTCAAAAGTAAAACGTAAAGACACTCAATTTGGACATAAATGAAACTTAACTGAGTCAAACATTTTAAATCAGTCATTGCGAATGTAATTTTCATGCGCCTGGATCGATATATCCGAGGCGTATTTTGTTTTTGTCCTGTCTGTTTGTCTGTTTATCTGTTTGTCTGTCTGATGTCAACTTTAACCTTTGCTACAATAACTTTTGAATCATGAGAGATAGAGACTTCGTGTTTGATGTACATACTCCACTACTTACGTTCTTTCAAATAGCACCAAGGTCAATGACCTTGTAATCTTGACTGTGACCAATATGCTATAAAAATAGTTTTTGGAACTTTGTTGCCGCCCGGCACATCTTGTTTATATTTTATGTAATTTACAGTCTTTTACTGCTTCGAAACTGAAACATGAGATGCAGCTTTCTCATAACTGATCCTGTATAAACGTAAGAGGAACAATTAATATAGAAACATGGTCACATTTAATCACAATTTTGTTTAAGTTACGTACTTTAAGCCTATTTTTTATATTTATATATTTTCAAAAGTCTTCTTTTTGTGCCAATTTGTAAATCTATTAAGATGGTTTGCTTCATTTTCAATTTCAGACATATGGACATTATAATCTTCAAATCTGCAGTATTCGTGTAATTCAAGGACTATAGGTTTCAAGGGTGACGTACATACTACACTCCAAGGGCGATATACACTGGGTATCCTCACTGCTGTCCACCAACTTTGACGTATGGCTGGAACTTGCTTTAACATATACACACAGGTTTTACTTACAAGCTCTAGTGGTTTCAAACAAATATACTTTATTATCAGATCATTATGAACATGTCTTGGATAAGAGTTTTTGAAATATTCAGATACATGTTACTAAACATAGATATCGTATTAAATGAAAAAAAAACAAAACATGCTAACATGATGAGAAATGCGGCTACTGGATGTTTTAGGAAAAATGAATTATATTTTACACTGCAAATAACTAACATGAAATTATGAAATACCTTAGCTCAGAAACGCTGAACCATAACTTTCTTTAAAAAATGGAATACCAGAGCAAGCCCTGCAAGTGATACTCTATACATGCAAAATATCAATGCTGGATACCCAAACATGTGAGAGGGGTTAAAACGTCCTTTGCACGGACAGATAAAAACAGATAATTGTAATAAAATCTGACAATAAAAGTTTTGTTACGACAAAGAGCGTGTCTGTCCCTTATTTAAAATCAGTTGGAGATGTGCCTTTTTCTTTCAGGTCACTTTTTCGTCTTCGGTGTGAAATTAGCTCCGTCATTAAATTAAGCAATTCCCTCACGCCAGCAAGAATTTGATACGATACACCGTTTTCACAATTCTCCCCATGGAATCCAGCTTCACATAATCCAGAACAAGATTCGGTCACGTGATGGCATGGTTTGTTACCTCTACAGTAACCACAACGTTCTTTACATTCTTTGCCAAACCAGCCATCCTTGCATTCTAATAAAAATAAAAGGAGCATAAGGAAACTTTTGATCTGTACATCTTTATATGTAATACAATAACATAACTTCGGAAGCTTATTTAGGACCTATCGGAAAATATTTTTGAATTCGATATAAAAAAAACTGTCAAATTTGTTATAACGAATTTAATAATTTAATGTCTAACAATTTCGTTAGAACGAATTCAATTTTTTTTAAATACGAATTTAACTCGTTTAAACGGAGTCTAAAACTTGTTATAGCGAATTGAATTCGTTCAAACGAATACTATTATTTGTTATAATGAATTAAATTCGCTAAAATGAATCGTAATATCGAATTCATAATTATATAATTTTCTATAGACCCTGATAATTGAATTTGATTAAACTAATTTTATTCGTTATAACAGACATTTGAAATTTGCTTTAACGAATTTATTTGTTATAACAGACTTCAGAATTTATTAAAATGGATTTAATTCATAATAATAAATTAAAGAAATTGTTATAATGAATTCAACAATTTTGCTATAGCATATTAAAATCCTAATAAGGAATTCAAAGAAATTGCTAAACTTAATTAAATTCGTTTGAACAAATTCGACAATTCGTTTTATCGAATTTCAAAAATATTTTAGAGGTCGTAAATGGGCTTCTATAGATTACATAGAGCGTAAAATAAATATTTAAGTTACAATAAAAATCATATTTAAAATTCAAAGAATTTATTTTATACCCTTACCAAAAAGTATTAAATTTAACTATTTTGATAACTATATTTAGCTTAAAAAGTTGGTTCTGAATTTAAATGAAAACTGAAACTATACAAATCAGATTTTTTTTTTCAAATCATGACGATTTAATTCGAAACGGTTATAAATGAAGAAAGACATGTCTTTGTACTTATAAATGACCCCGTTTATCATGAGTATTCATTAACTTTTATTCATTTTTGCTAAAATACGTATAAGTAATTAGAAAAAGAAGAGTCACCTAGCTGAATTACGTATCTTAGTATTCTTGATTTATTAATATCTTACTTGTTAGGCAGTTCTCCCCATGATATCCAGGTTCACATAGCCCGGAACAGGATCCATTGACATAATTACAAGTTTTATTGCTTTCACAGTGACCACATATTCCCTTACAGCCTTCGCCATACCTTCCAAACGTACATGCTACAAAAGACATATCTGGGATCAAAAACTTGCTTTTAGATCTAAGAAGTTGATAGTTTTCAGACAAATGATTTCATAGCGGTTTCCATGAATGAAAACATGGATTTTTTTTTTATAAGGAAATGACATTTTTTAACATTTTAAAGACAAAAACGCTTATTATGCAGAATATATATGGAAGTCCAATTGATTCCAGGGCATATAGAACAGTTCCCATTGTTTCAGTATCTTTACTGTTTCATTATTTTGTCAAATTTTACGTATTACTCTTTTTATCATCTGATTTTTTTAAAATCATAAGTACAATAGACCTTCACTGTTTTTTTTATATATATATACATATATATACAAATTGAAAGTTAATAATTTATCAAAATTATTTAGAAATGACCTTTTTAGCAGTTTATTGACAAAAACACTACTTATGCAGAATACATGCATAATGATATTATTAATAAGCAGAACAGCGCATTTCTTTCTACTGAATTCCTGAATACACCTAAGAAATGCAAATAATGTAAAAAGAAATTGCTCTTCATTTCAAAATGTAGAAACAAATTCAAAGAGTTATACACAATGTACCTCGTATTGAAATTACCTAGCAAATAATCAAACTGACTCTTTTGCAATTAAGTCAAGAAATTTCGAATCACCTCTTGGGCATTACGTATAGTTTACGCTAGCACGATTCAAGAATTCAAATATTTAAACATCCAAAAGTAAAGTTGATCAGAGAGAAATAGTCGAATAGATTTTAAAAAAAAAATGGATAAGCAGAAGATTCTACAAAAAGAAAGTTAAGGGGTGACCTTTGTCCGAAAGCACGTGCAAAAACAGTGTTAAATGCTAAAAATAGATTATTTTAAAAGATTATTGTTCTATCCCAAATACGCGCTAAAAAGTACCAAAAATGTCAAATCACATTCAAAATCAACAGGTATTAAATTTATATGACTTGTACCAGGATCAGTTGGAATAAGCAGTCTATAAACCTTTTTCGAAGGTGGTGGTGGTGGTGGGGGTGTTAAAGGATTTTAAGGCAATGTTTTTCTTACGTGTGAGACATTTTTCTCCATAATATCCGGGTTCACACAATCCAGGACAGGATCCAGTGATATGATTACATGGCTCATTTCTTTCACAGTAACCACATACCTCTTTGCAATCTTTGCCATATCTTCCAGGACTACATACTGCAAAAATATTTGAAAGATGAAACTGTAACATTCAATCAGATAAATTTATTACTGCAGGGTATGGACAGGTTGCTAATTGTAGACCTCTGTCAGTGAACTTCCAAATTTCATTTACTTTCATTGCAGCGGGGTGTTATCCATCCATCTGCACATTCTCCTGGACAAGTACCGTCAGTTTTATTGCACGGCATTTCACCTGCACAGTGACCACATTCTTCTTTACAGTTATTGCCAAAATACCCGTCATCACATTCTGAAAAAAATGGATTAAAAACACATTTTTTCCTAATAATTTATTTTGATTGTCACAGGTAGTATCTACATGTATCACAATATTTACCCTCATTACATTTCTTTTTTTCGTATCCTGGTTCACATAGTTCATCTGGACAATGACCTGTCACGTGATTTCAGCTTACTTTGTTCAAACAATGTCCACAGCTACGACTACAGTTCTTGCCGTAAAAACCACCACGACATGCTGTAAAAAACAGTACTATTTTCACCCAAAGTACGGTGTCCTTTCATATATCTGAATGTTTCTTTGAATACTAAAGAATACATATTTATGTTAAGGACAGTTGAAGGAAATACTGCCCCTAAAAGTGTACAGAATCAATTCTTAAAAATAATTTCGCTAGTCTAGAATAAAATGTTTCAAACTGCAGTTTTATATACCGAATTTCTTCAAAGTTATATCGAATTCATAATTATATATTTTTCTATAGACCCTGATTATTGAATTTGATTAAACTAGCAATACATTGTTTTACTAACACTATATAAATCTCTCTCTCTCTCTCTCTCTCTCTCTCTCTTTTCGTTGAAACGTAATACGGAAAAATACTAGTTTAAGATTTTAAAAAAATGATCAAGATTGTTTTTCTAATTAGAAAATTAAGTACATTAAGAAACTTTCATTAATTCAAAATTTATTTTGCTTGCACATAATTATGTTAAATAAATGAGGACCAATTGAACCACACAGAGGTGTAAACTCATGATCAGTTGGAATAAGCAGTCTATAAACCTTTTTTGAGGGGGGGGGGAAGGGGGGGGGTTGTTAAAGGATTTTAAGGCAATGTTTTTCTTACGTGTCAGACATTTTTCTCCATAATATCCGGGTCCACACAGTCCAGGACAGGATCCAGTGATATGATTACATGGCTCTTTTCTTTCACAGTAACCACATACCTCTTTGCAATCTTTGCCAAATCTCCCAGGAATACATACTACAAAAATATTTAAAAGATGAAACTGTAACCTTCAGTCAGATAAAGTTGTTACTGCAGGGTATGGACAGGTTGCTAATTGTAGACCTTTGATTTTTTTTAACGTTCAATAAACCTCCACTTAACCTCCAAATTTCAGTTCACTGTTTTATAATTACATACTACTGCAGTTTTTTGTCACCATGTCGAGAGAAAGAAAAACATTTAATTTTTCAAGAATAGAAAATAAGAAAGGATGGTATCTTCAGGTGTATTTAAACACATAAAGGCTATATGGATTTATAACGTTCGATAAATTTTATAAAAACGGTCCTGACGATTTCAGGGTACAAGCTAAGATGACGATGTGCATCTTGATTATGATGTAGGTTAAGCGGAACGTTCCCCGTCTTCGCTATGTTAAGTAAATGTCATGTGTCCCTTCTTAGTTCAAACATTTTTTTTCCATTATTAAGAAAAAATCTAGTAATGTATGCTGAACAAATATGTTGGGGAAGGGGAAAACAATCAACACAAAATCTTCAATTGCGATGCATGCAATTAGTCAATGAGTGATTGAATCTATGAAATTTGTTGCCATATTTTGAACTTGTGATTTGGAAACGATATTGATCTACTCACACAACTGAGAGTAAAGCGAACATTTATGCATATTTAGCAATAACTAATGAGTCAGATTAACTGTTTATTGAGGTTTAGTTGTTAAGAATTTGCAAGCTTGTGAACAAAAGTTGCATAAAATACTGTCAAACACAGCTTAAATTTGCTGTAAGGTGTGTTAATTAAAAAAGGCACCTGGTCAAAACTTAAATATTACTAATAAACTGACAATATGTCTTGCATTAATGATAATAGGTAGGAATATGTCAGTATATAGTAGTATCAAATAAATTGATACATAAAAATGCCATGCTACTTTATGTTAACTCGTGTCAAATTTTAGACAAAACCAACTGTTAGATAATAAATTATTGCAAAATCCATTATTAGTAGATTTTCGTGACTCATTGAATACAGTATATTTCAATGCAAATACAATTACTCCAGCAATCTAGAAGTTTAAGTTGAGATACTTTAGACTTAGTGTTGCAATATATGAAAAGCGCAGGAATGTTAATGGAGATTCTAAATTGTGTGCATGCACAATAGGACTATATGTAAACAAATCAACAGAAGTCTTCCCTACAAGCAATATTTGATAGATAAGTGATGCATTATAAAATTCACCTTACAAGATCCTTCAACTGCAGACTTGAGTATAATTAAAGCTATATATGGCGTAACTGATCAAAAAATATATTTTTGAAAAATACAAAATTAAGTAAAGAAATATAGTTAATACATCTAAATTAAAGCTTTTCATACAATTCTGAACACGGAGAACACCTCGTTTCACATAATAATTCAATTTTATCTTCTCTATAATGTGTTATTTAAATCTTTTGTATTTTCTTCCGAGCCGGAAAAAATTCCGAGAATCCAAATTGAATTGTGATATCTTTATAATGCAACTGACTTAGATTTTGTAATTTACGGAAAAGTTCTATCTTTATATAAAGTAATCATACAAATGATAAGTTCTTATAATTTTAGTCTAATAATTTTCACTGTACATACGCCATATATGGCTTTAATACATGCATTATAATGTACTTAATTGAGCGTCATACGTATTGATAACGAGTTTTTTTTTTCCTTTGACAAATGACTTATAATTTTTCAAGATGATCAACAGAATTGTTTTATATATTATAATGTCCGTGAAAAGTCTTGAATTTCCTACTTTCACTTTCATTTTCAGAGGTTAATACGGATGGACGCATTTTGCCGCAAAACAAATCTGACATGCCAGATTTTAACCACGGAAAGACAACTTTAGCGTTTATTTGTTGGGTCACCCACTGCTGAACGAGAAGAAAGGACATTGCTTTGAGAAGAAATGTTAACGTAATCAATTCATGGGAAAACAATTAGTGAGCTGAAAAAAAATTAAATTCTTTTGTGTTTATTGATGATTTTTGTTCATGAGACTGTTCACTGCAAATATTCATTTATTAGACTGACATTCACTAAAGAAAAGAAAATAACGAATGTGACATTTGTATTAAAAATAATAATAATCTTTCTTGAGGGGGGGGGGGAGGTAAATAGTACAAATCGTAGAGCGCAATCTCCAACTCTATGTAATTATTAAAAAAAATAACCCATAAGTTTTATTTCTTAATTCATACAATGAATGAAAAGTTACCTTTGCAAAATGGTGGATGATACCCTTCTTTACAACCGAGCATATCACACCGCCCCGTTACGTCGCATTCAGCTTTACACGTATCACATGGAGTACAATCTTTGACATATCTACGACGCGGGCATCCTGTTATGAATAAGTTATTGTATAGAATCGTTATAGTATTAACGTGGGATATAAGTTTAGAATAGTTTTATTAATGTTCTATCTAATTAATTTAGCTTAATGGTGTATGAGTTTTAATCTCAAATATATAATGATACATGTACGTGTAAGTAACGGTCAGAAATTAAGCTGATCATATTTTTGAGAAGGGTAGTGTATTGTTAAAGTCAAAAGAACCTATATATTTATAAGGATACAACAACATTTATCAATCTTACTAGTATTTCAAAACATTACATACATAAGCAAAAGACCCACGACAATTCCCTTTTAATGCTGAACAAATTTTTTTTTAATTTAAATAGACATAAGCATTAACAACATTTTAAGAATCAACTGCTACATTTTAGGAAATACTTATTCAGATAAAAATTAATCTCAAATAACCATCGTCATAGTATTTTCCTATTCTATGAGAAGTAAGGAGTCAATCCGTACGTCGCGGGTTCGAATCCCACTGCGGGGTGTGGAGACAGTGTAACGTTGAATTTTGACCCGCGTTGAAAATTGACCCTGGGGTCATTTTTCAACGTTGAATACTGAGACCGAAGGTGTTGAATTTAGACCCTAATCCGTTGAAAACTGAGCCGGGTCGTGGAATTTTGATCATGAAACCGGTTCAAAATTCAACAGCATAAAAACACATATTTATGATTGGGTTTTCACTACTGTGATTTAATTCATAGGTATGAGGCCCCGTTTTGGTATTTACTGCAAAAAGTAATATCCCCTATTTGAATAAGTGATATCACCTCTTCCAATAGATGATATCACCTATTTGCTTTGAATTTGTGATATCACCAATTCGAAAAGGTGATATCACTTATTCGATTGGGTGATACCACCTTTTCCCGTAGTTTTTTTTTTGCTTAAAAATTAATTTATCTCACTTATATATCATGTATACAACAAAAAAATCGTAGAAAATGCATGAAAACTGGGTAGTCCGAATTTTCTTGGTTCCAGTGTAGTATAATATATATTATAGGGAGCATTTATTAATGACTGTTGTAAGAAACTAAAATAGGTAATATCACCATTTCGAATAGGTGATACCACTTATTCAAATAGGTGATAGCATCTATTTAGCACGAAAAGGTGATATCACCTTTAATTCTAAGCTCTCTGATTGGCTCAAACTTGATCACATGATTAAGTATATAACAGCATAAAGACTTGAGTTACTATTTATAGAATCTGAAATGCATATTGACTTCATGTTTTTTTTCTTGTGATCATATAGTTTACTATATTGCAGGAGTCCTTTTAGAAAATTTCACTAAAGTGAGTGACACCCCCCTCCCTGCCTGGAGATAATTTTTTGTAAAATAGAAATAGTATTGATTTCTCAATTAAAGATAATACAGAGTATGACTTGATGTTTCTGAAAAAAAATTACTACAACTTGTATTAATATTTTTTAATGTTCCGTAATTGGTGAGACGTATCAATGCCTTTAAGTCTTGAATTAGGATGAAAATGGACCTTATATTAAAACATATTGGATATCTTTGTCAAAAATTGATACAAGACATAATCAATTAAATAAATTAGTATTCTGAATAACTAAATCCTCTATAATTACTCCATCAATGTATAAAACAAAACACACAAATAGCAACAGCTTAATTTATGCTGATCTCTAGTCTCTAAGTCTTGAAGAGAGAAAACTTCTGCCCTATTCCCATTATTTTCAAATTTTGTTTTGTCAATCTATGTGATAAAATGATATATTTACATTTGCAAATGTTTTCCTTAATATAACACTACTGAAAGCAATGCGTATCTATAACTGTATAAATACAGGTACGGGGTCAAGAGGTCATAGATGTGCGTATAGATAAACGTTTGTCGTAATTTCTCTGTGACGCCATAAAGGGTCGACGCGCGTTCAGTGGATTACATACATGCCGTTGGGTTTGAAAAATAACGCATTTCACACGTTAAAAGTCACAATCAGGCAAATACAAAGTATAAATAAGTCACAAATGTAAATATAAGTAATAAAGTATCATTTTAAAACATTTATCGGGCTATAAATACGGATTGGTACGAGATTAAATTCATCATAAAGCCCTTCGGGCTTTATGGAATTTAATCTCGTGACCAACCCGTATTTATATCCCGATAGATGTTTAAAAATGATACCTTATTTCTTAATTATATTCGATAATAATGTTAAACTTTACATTCCTATTTAATTGATTTTACAACCAATTCTAGTTTAATTTGTCATATTTCCCAGAATGCAATCATGGCAATTATTGAAAAAGAATTTAAAAAAACATCGCATATAGGAGATCATAGAGATAAAATTATGTAATAAGATGAGAAGTTTATCGAATAGGAATCGTATTTTTTTCGAATAGAAATGATGGTAGTATGTTTTCGAACAACAACTTTATTGCATATAAACCAAATAATCATCGATTAAAAAAGATAAAATTATCGAATAGGAATGACAAAATAAGCAACTAGCAACCGATTGTTTTAAATATTAATGACATCGAATAGGAAACGCACGACGGCGTTTTCGTGCCATTTTAACAATTTAGAATTTTTTTTTCAAAAAAATCGTTTGAACGATTTTAAAAAACGTTTGTACGATTTAACAAATTGTTTGTACAATTTAATAAATTGTCTGTACAATTTAATAAATCGTTTGTACAATTTAATAAGTCGTTTGTACGATGAAATAATTCGTCTGTACGATTTAAAGATTGTTTGTACAATTTAGTAAATTGTTTGTACAATTTAATAAATCGTTTGTACAATTTGTTTGTTAAATCGTTTGTACAATTTATTAAATCGTACAAACTTTTTTTTAAAATAGTACAAACGTTTTCTTAAATCGTAAAAACGGTTTCCTTAATTGTTCAAACGATTTATAAAAAACGTACAAACTATTAAGATAAATCGTATGAACGATTTAATAAATTGTACAAACGATTAACAAACAAATTATACAAACGATTTATTAAATTGTACAAACGTTTTCTTAAATCGTTCAAACGATTTAAAAAAAAAAATTCTACATTGTTAAAATGGCACGCATACGCCGTCGTACCAATTCGTTGTTTTGTAGTTATTTATGGATGCCATGGATTTTGGAAAGTATTTTCAAAAATAAAGTGGTAATGCTTGAAGCAGTGGCGTAGCATCGTTTTTGAAAGTGGGGGGGGGGTGGTCAGCCGGAGAAATTTTTTTTTTACTTACCTGAAAAAGTTGATAACAAAAAAAAAAGGGGGGTGAGTTGAAAGTCGAAAATCCTATTTCTTGGGGGTGGGAGGTGGGGGGTAGAGGCTAACTTTTTTCAGTGTCAACTACTTTCAGTACCAATTCTAATACTTCATTTTCGACACATCACTAAAACTGGGGGGCCAACCAGGTTTTAAATTAACATTTGCTATAGTATAGGTAAGGTTGATGTAGTGGAACCATTTTATGTAAGAACTGTCTAACGCTGTGTATGATTTTATGTACGAGTTAATCTAAAGTAATGTAAACACACATGGCTGCAAGTGCAGCACACTGCAAGCAATTTTTCTTATAGTTAAGCTCGATCCACTACAGAGTAAGTTTTATATGTATTATAAATGATAAAGATATATGTTTATTTACTTATTGTTAACTGCAAAGTAGGCAATTTCACTTATTAGGCTATTTTTACGATCGGAATGTAATGTAAACAATCTACAGCTATAATATTTTCCCGCCATTATTGTCCATTGTCTTGAAGCAACTTGTGTAGAATTTGTGTTTGTATCTCATAGTAATGTGTTGTTTTTGTTTTGTTTATTGTAGTTTTTTACCTCTTCCGAGAGTCTATAATAAAAAGCAAGCAAACATTATAGTAAAAAATCTGTACTCATCACATGGATCGAATCATGGACCTTAGAGCTGCACGTACCCTCACCGAGCGAGCAAAAGAACAGTACGAAAAGAAAGTGAGTGAATATACAGAACAATTACGTGTTCTTAGGAAAAGTGTAGAAGAACAAATTCTGGCATTTAGTGAGTTTCCCTTAAAAGAGGATGCAGAGTTTGTGAAACATAGGGTGACCCAAACACTTGGAAAATATGGTGACTTGTCTGAAAAGTTTGTGGCCTACTTACAAGAAACAAGGACAAAAGAGAGTGAGTACGAGCTTTCAGCGCATGCTATGGTTAACAGATCAGTCATGAGCAAGGCAGAACTGTTCATAAAGGAACTTGAACATTTTGATCAAAGTGACGTTAAAGAGAAAAACGGACAACAACTATCTAGTGCAGATTCTACACAGTCAAATAAAGAGACAGATCATTTTTCAGTCAAACAAGAACCCGCAAGTGTTACAGAAGAGTCAGCAAGTTCTTCACATCTCAGCAAAGTCAAAGCTAGATACGAAGCATCAAAAACAAAGGCGAAGTATGCAGAACTTACAGCAAAATTAATTAAAGAAAAGACGCAAATAGAAGAAGACGAGGCAATCGCAGCTTCAAGATCAGCAAGAAAAAAGAAAGATTTAGAAACTAGTTTAAATCTCATTAAAGTACAACAAGAGGCTGAAGAGGCAGAAGCAGAGCTGGACGCTCTCATGGAAGAAATGAGCATCAAGTCAAATCATTCCGAGCATAGTGTACGTACATTGACAAGTGAAAAGCGCAAGAGAACCCGAGACTATGTGGTGGAGCAAAGCAGTATGCGATCTGAATTATCCAACCATGAACAAGCTTCAAGTGAAAGAACCCCAAATCCCTTTGATAAATACAAACATGAAACATTTACATTCATGTCAGACAAATATAGGCAACCTTCATATAGAGACTTATCTGTTCAAGAACAAGATCCTGTAATGAGAGAAAATGCGAACCCTCAAACTAATGAACGCTATGAAAAACGCAATACTGACAGATATGCACGAGATTATGAGCCACCAATTGCGCCAAAATTTCATAGCACATACGCAGGAAGAGACTAC